GTGCTGCATGGGGTTATTGCACCCAAAGTGCTAAAGCAGCACTTTCAACATCACATGGAATCTACTGAATCAAAACCAGCTGTCACAGGCCTCCATTTTTTCATATTTCAAGAGAAGAATCAAAGACTTGTCTTAAAAGCTGAAGGATGTACTAGGACTTCAAGAATGTCAAGTGCATAGATAAAATTAGCTAAAAACCCTAATTTCCTAAAGCAATGAAAAACATACCAAGTTTAAAATAAATTACAAAAGCATTTCTGGAGTCTAAAAATCCTACAGTAATATACGTAAGTGTATTCCTTTGTACAACATGTATGTCAGTAAGTCTGTCAGTTCTGTAAACAAGACAGGACTGCCATCACTCCAGTTACTCGGGGCCAAACTGTTCCTCCTGTTGCAAATGGGGAGGGAGAGAAAAAAAACAACAAACAAACAACAACCACGATCTAGAGCTATTCTTCTCACTTCTTATTGTTTAACTCCACCTTTTCATCCTAGATAAGGCAAGTTCAGTTTTGCCTCTTAACTGAAAGCCCCTGAATCCTTCTACTTACACTGCTGTTCAACATCTAAAGGAAAACCCCACGTTGGAAGCACTCACCATTAGGACAGTGCATAGTAAGTCATTTCATTCTTCATCCTGCCCTCTCATGCTCCCTTCATCCAATTGACTCAAGTCACCACTTAAAAGCAGGTGCTGAAGCTATTAGACACTACTCAGCACCTTCGGCATTATATTTGCTACAAACTGAGGTTCCCCAAAAGCTCACTATATCACTGTATTCAAAACTAGAGTAGTAAAAAAGTCAAGTTAACATGGCTTGAGGACTATCTTGTCCAACTTTCAGACATTTCTGAATGCCAAGCAACTTGAGCTTCATTTTCTCTCTCTGATCCAGCAAGAACTTCTGTTTGATCTTCAGTTTGTATACCCTGCTATAGCCATAGAGAATATTTATCTAAGTCTTTTACTATTTCTGAACAGGCATCACAAAAGGCACATTGATTCTTTCTGCAAATTTACAGGAACTACTTTTAATTCAGATTGGAGTAAGAGTCTTACTTCCAGGGTCAAAAAACTTAAGAGTTTCAGAATGTGTAAGAAATTTTTTTAAGTTAAAACAAAGCACCACCATTTGCCTTCTCCTGAGCTGAATTCACAATACATTCACAAAAAGAAACAACCCCGAAGTTCTCTTAATCCTGCAACTCTAACCTTCCTATCCCAGCAAAACCAGACCAGCTGCTCATTTTCTGCTGAGGTTCTGCATCTTTCTTCAGGTTAAGAGGTCCAGTCAGTCAAGTGCTGCAGAAAGCTCAACAGAAGCACAATATTTTGATCCCACAAAAAAAACCTAGTTCTCTTAAAAAGGGACCATGCAGAAGTAGAAAATGGGAGAAGATGGTCTGAGCAGATGGGAGTCTTCAACAAGGTATTTCGTTATTTGGAAAAATTTATATACTCCAATCCACACATACTCAATGCAGTTAAAGATTTGGTTTTCTTTTTAAAAAAAGAGGCAACTGTCTTATCCCATTAGAATTATCTGAACAAGTCTCTAACTACGCAAAAATACAGTAAACTTAACTTCTGCAAGAAAACTAACACAGTCTCTGTTGCTAGAACTCAGCAGTGAGACAGGTCCTGTCAAGGTGTATTATATGCTGCGTGGAAACCAGCAATCCAGCCTCTGGAAGCAGATCATCTCCCCTTGGATTCACTGGGATTTCTTGAGTCCTGACCTGAGTCCTGGTGAGCTGGAATGCTAGGTCTTGAGATACTACAACTGCATGCAAAGAACTTGTCTAAGCTGAAAACACTGTCCAGTCTGCTGTTAACTACACCATATAGATGCAACTGGAAAGCAACACTTATCAGGCAATTACTTGGCTACATGAGTATTCTGCTCTTGTACTATATTTCCAGATATCCAATAACTTTGCATTTCCCATCCAGTCAGGCAGGATGAATTGCCAACCCTAAATGCAAGTATCAGATGCTTTTCAGCAGATCTTTTCACCAGTCCTACAAGTACTTCTAACAGCAATCAGATGTTCAAGTGACATCAAATGCTGATACTGATGCTGAAACAGGCCAATCGGAAAAAAAGTCTTCTGGGAAGATTCATGTACAAATGTGTGGTTTTTCTAGTTAATTTTTGCACATACCTGCAAAGCATGGCAACCACTCACAGGCAGCTTTTGATTGAACTTTTAGGTCTCAAAAGCTGTACATAGGTAAGCTCACAATGTAGTTTACTCAAGCATAGGTTTAGCTACAGTTGTTCCATGCAATGCTGAAGACAGACTTATTTCAACGTAAAAACAAAAAACAATAAAGGTAAAAAGCTTATTTTCTCAAACATGTTACTTCTATATCTGCATCTTAAAGCTAACTATATTCCTGATAACATACTGCAGGTTTCACCGGCTTGCAGCAGAATCAAACCCACAGACACAATGAGTTTCTTGTTCTGAGATTTTCGTTTGATCTGTGCAGCTTGTGAGTGGAGACCTCAGGAGCACATTTTGCACAACCCACTCTTGTTTTAGGATGAATTGTTCATCTTGTTACCCTTAAAGACAAGCAAAAAATACAATGGGAAAGCTCAACAACTTTCCCTTTTGTTAGCAACAATTCCTTCAGATAAGATTTACATCAAAATTTGCTTACTTACATCTAGAGAGTCCTCATTGACCAGGATGAGAGACATAGTCTGTGAAATAAGTCTGCAAGAGTACCCTGCAAGAGAAAGAAAAAACACACAAGGACTTAGCTTTTTTGAAGAATAATTAAGGTTTAGCTCAACCTTAAGAGGAACATCAAATTACAAAATTAAGAGGAATCTCAAATTACAGTTTTACCTTTTGAGCAGTTACTCCCACACTGGCATACAGGACACACTCCAACTTGACAATTTTACCAGCAAAGACAGTATTTTATCTGCATTTCCAAATACATCATTTGCGATGTTTCAACCACAGAAAATACCATATGACCTAGATGCAGCAAATACAGACTACAGCCCTACAGCAAAATCAAGTATTTCTATACCTAATTTTTTTTTCCCCCTACATGAGGGCAGAATTGCCTTCAACATGTTACAGGAACAGTTCTGAATGCGTAGCTGCAGCTATGCCACACAACTTGAAGCAAACGTACTGAATCAGTTGGTGCCACCCAGTCCCCTTAGCCTGCACTAGGGTTACATGAGCGTCTTTCACTCCTGAGAGTTTGGCATTGAAGGTCCTGAGTGTCTCCAAACTACAGATCAACGAAACACAGAGCCCCTGCCAACTCCTGCAGGCATCAGGTAATTGTACCAAGTCATTCTTAGTGTGGGACTGGCACATGAAACAGGAGCAAGTTGCCATGGTCTGGAGCAGCCCTCAAAAGGCAGTTCTGTACCTTTGCTAAGACACCAAAATTCAAAGCAAAAGCTCTCAAGACAGAAAAAAAGGCTCTTTTTTTTGTAATAGTAAAAGCTAGTAACTGCAAACACAAACTCACAAACTGACCTCACTCCATTATCCTAAAAGCTCATGCAAGTTCTCTCAAGGTTGGCACAGTCATGTAGCTTCACAGAACAGCATAAAATTCCTTTATTTGAAGCACATGCCTTTCATTGCTGATTGAAGTTACACATGAAAAGTAAAAAAAAAAAAAATATTATTTCATATTTCTACTGTGCTTTCACACAGAAATGTATCACAGCAAGTTTAAGAAACTGCTGTCATAAAATGAGGTCTCAGGAAGTCTTACACTGTTCTTAAATGGAGACTGAAGGCTACTGCAGAATAAGAGTAATGTCCCAGAGACGAGCCACTGCACAGCTGACAGGTTCAAAGCAGAACAGCACAGTCAATGTAACAGGATTACTTGTGTCTCTCCATCTCTCAAAACAGCAAGAGAACAACGGAAGCATCAATTTATTTTCTGTGGGATTCCTTAGGACAGCCACATTGGCTCATCAATTGCAATGCACATCATTTCCTCAGGCTACAGAATTTTTATGATTAGGCTAGTTTTGCAGCCAGAATCCAGAGTTAAAACGCCTGCATAGACGACTTCCGTCAAGAAAGTAAATCCTTCACCTTTCTTAGTGGACAGCATGCCTGTATCATACAACCAGGCACTTCCAGGCAGCAGCTTCCATTAGCTGCAAAAGTTTTGCTGCTCTTCCATTTTCACAGCTGTGTGGAATACGAATATCAGCCACAACTTTGCAGATACATGTTCATCTTATTTGTGTTAAGAAGCTAAGGTTTAACTTCTGCTTGGGAGAACAACACAGAATGAAACTCTCACACACACCTGTTGAGAAAAGGATGAAATATTTCCTAACCAGTATAACTAATTCTAAAGGATTTTCTAGTAGCAGCTGTAATAGCAAGCAGTCATTTCTAAACCACTGCTCACTGTTTCATTTTACTTCTATCAAAACGAGCAAGATGCCACTCTTAGAGCGGAGCTAGAAAAAAAAAAACCAATCCAGAGTTGCTCTGCTGTGTATCCTGGAAGTCATGGAGTCACAAGAACTAATCCTGCAACTGAGTCTCATCACATTTAACAGGAAGGAGATCAATACTGGAATAGGAGAATTTAAGTCAAGCCTAACAGTAGTGTATAGCATATCTATATGCTACGTACAATTTCAGCACTACTGAGATGTTAAAAACTAGCACTAGTATAAATCAAAGTAACCGGCAACTCTAAGATTACAAGTGACTTTTATAGTCATGTTAAAGTTGGGTATAGTCATATATTTAAGTTTTGTAACAGTTATTACTGGCAGTACTAACATGGCAAGTAAAAATACATTTTCTAAGATCAGGGCATATTTTTGTCAATGCTTCTGTGTAGAATAAGATCAACTGCTGGTTCAAAGCAGGTATAAAATGTCAATCCACACCTGTAAGTTGATATCTAGCTCTTTAATTTGTAAGTCTGACTAAAAGCCCATGAAGCAGATAAATCTGGTACTTCTGGGACTTACTTCCCTTCAAGTGTCCTGGGATAAAGATTGCTTGAACCGGAGTTCAAGATCATAGCCCAGAGGCACATTCGTACTGCAGGCAGATAGAAGCCAGCATTTGAGGCAAGAACGATGATGATCTTCTGTGTTTAGAGAGAGCATTTACGCCCTGCTCCAACTTCGCACAGGGATACAGCCAAGGGTGTAGGCATTGCTTCCATTCTCTCAACTGAAGAATCATGGCTTGCCGTAACAGAAGTGTTCTTGCCTCTAAACTGAGGAGATACAGGCTTGATGGATGGATGGACTGCTAGGGAGATAAGGAGTTGGCTGGATAGCCAAGCCCAAAGAGTCAATAGCTCAATGTACAAGTGGAAACAAGCAATGAGTAGTGTTCAGGGGTCAGTCCTGGGTCCAATACCATTTAGTATCTTCATCAATGTCAGACAGGGGGATTGACTACACTCAGCAAGCTTGCAGACAACACCAAGCTGAATGGTGCAGCTAGAGGGAAGGAATGCCATCCAGAAGGACCTTGACACGCTTGAGGAGTAAGCTGGTGCAAAGCCCATGAAGTTCAACAAGATAAAGTGCAAGGTCCTGAACTAGGCTGTGGCAATACAAAACATCAATCAGTTCAGACTGGGGGATGAAGAGATTGAAAGCAGCCCTACGGAGAAGTACCTGGGGATACTGGTGGATGAAAAATTTGACATGAGAACCCACCTAGAGTACTGCATCCAGCTGTGGGGCCTGCAGTGGCAGGTTAAGGGGCAATGGTTTTAAACTGAAAGAGGGTAGATTTAGACTGGACATAAGGAAGATATTTTTTTTTTTATCATGAGGGTGGCGAGACTGGAACAGCTTGCCCAGAAAAGTTGTGGGTGGCCCATCATAGGAAGTGTTCAAGGTCGGGCTGGATGGAGTATTGAGTAACTTGATCTAGGGAGATACGTCCCTGCCCATGGCGAGAACGTTGGACTAGATCTTCAAAGGGTCCCTTCCAACCCTAACCACTCTGACTGTAAGGCAGTGCATGCAGCTATGAATGGATGCTCCAAGTAAGAGCACTCAGCTCAACTGCAGAGATTGTTTTCTGGGAATGCGAATGAAGTGTTTACTGAAATGTATTCTTCCCTAAAGAATCAATGTGTTACTAAGGAAGTTATTGGCTGGAAATAAATCAGCTCTGGTTTTCTGGGAGCATGCTGAGCACCAAGATGGCGGTCAATAGAAATCTGCCTTTTTTTTTTTGCCTCACTGAAAGTCAAAGAAGATCCAGAGACTGCAGATGGTTATAAGAGAAGAATGAAGCTACATGAACGCTGTTAAGCCTTTTAGAGTGGTTTGCAGACATTGGCTAAGGACAGTTTCAGCTGGTAGAAAATTAAGATCGTAGGTCATGCTCAAAGATGTTTCCAAACCTCAAACTCCTATAGGTGAAGAGTTCAAATGGCTGATCAGTACTAAAAGCTTATCAGGAACACATTCCTCACCTGCGGGACGATCAGCTGGTACATGGCTGAGTGGAAGGCATACAACCACCCCACAGCAAGGTCAACCATTACTCCTCAGAGAAGTCAAGAATGCAATCAAGAGAAAATAGAGCCACACAAATTCTGAAGGCCAAAGAATCAAGAGGAAGCTGGAAGAACAAAGTGCTCCAACTCCTTGGGGCAGCTGCCAAGAGCTCAAATATCCCTCAATACATATGCATACCCGTACAGCAAGCAAATTCCATAAGCACAACCTCTGCACACAATGAGAAAGTGAAAATACTTTCTACTTCCCAGCCAGCATATTTATACCTGAAGCATGAAGTGTACATGTGGATCGGGTTTTAAATTGAACATTTATTAAAGTTTTAATGGATTACATAAAGAAAACTGGAAGAGTGCCACACATTTGTACTTTCAAGCCAGTTGAACATGAAGCTAATTAAATTCCAGAGTTTTACCACCAAATTGTACAGTAAACAAAGTGATAATTAAGAATTTGTAAGGGAGATACTGATTCTTTTCAAGTTGCTAACAAAAAAAACAGTTTTAGAGACAAGCTGGAAGTTAGTCTCCTTCACAGCCTTCAGAGTAAGCAACTGCTGTAAAGCCCATTTACTTGTGTTCAGACTAGCTGTCAGTTAATATACCAAATTATTTCAGATACTTAATTTGTCAAAAGATTATGATTTCCCTCCTCTCAAGCTGACTACAAGCTTTAAAAAAGCAAAAACTGAACTAGTGATTTCAACCAGAAAAACTAGCATCTAAATCAATAGTCTGTTTCAGCCATCCACCTTGTTTCTACTACAACTGTATCAGTTCAGCAATTTTATCTCTTGGTACCAACTTTGACATGAAAATATAAATGAAACTTGATTAAATTTTGATAAGTAAACAGAAATTCTTGTCAGTCAAGCAGACTACTTTCTGAGTGTGCTTTTACCAGGATCTGCTCCTCTATTAAGTCTTTACGACTTAGTTAAGACCTGGAAAGTCCCTCTCCTAGGAGGCTCCTAGTGGTGTGTGAAGGGCTACAGCATGACAGCAGCATAGGCATAGCTCACAAATCAGCATTTCAGGCACAGTAGCATTCTTTGACAAGACAAGCTGTTGCTACCCAGGTTGCCCACCTTGCAAGTCTCCACAGTGAGAAAAAGGCTGAAGGATTGGAGTTTTAAGTACATGCTAGACCTACTCACGTGCATATCCAATGCAAGACAAGCTCAACAGCAGAAGTGCTACAGAGCACAACATCTCGTTGCTACAGGATTGAAATTATAATGTATACTTTCAGTTCAGCCCAGCCTTACAGTAAAACCCTTGTATTTGACAAATTACAAGTGGCCTAGTGTATAGGCTGATTTCACCAGATACATATATGATCAAAAAGGAAAACTAATGCTTAAGGGCTGCTTCCAATAACAAACCTAATCCTACTGTCCTAAAAACTCTACAGTTCTATGCTGTAAAACCAAGTAGTAATCTAAACACCTCTCTTAAGTAGGTTACCATTCTATTACATCAGTACCCAAGCAAACCTGTGAAATACTTCAATTTGTACTTCTTATTCACAACATTGCAAGGTTTCTTCTTTGCAATACTAAGAGCTTTGTTTGTAAGTGAAGATGCACCAACAAGTTTGAGACAAAAATATCCATATTGTGCCTTGATTAAACAACCCATATTTAACTCTATCCACATATTCAATCACAGCAACACACTTCCAACATAATCATATTAGACTAACAGATGTGCCATAATGTGACAGCAGGAACAGTTATTCAAGCATCCACCTACTTCCACAGACAAGGTTTGCAAGAAGTTGTAAGCTATATGCTTTGTATTACTGTATTTCCCACCATATCCCAAACTCCATTCAAGTCTAGAAAAAACAGTCAGCAACATAAGAAAAAAAAGCTGTAAAGCAGTTTGATATAACGCACAGTATAACTGAAACATTCCAGTTTGGTTGAGCTCACCAGTTTCCATCAGAACGCAGTTACTTACATTCACTCCATACAAGAATTGCACTTAAAACTGAAGTGTCCCTTTTGCCTTAAGAACAGCTGAATACAGGCTGACAGAGCAAAGGCCTCACTCCAAAAACCTCTCTTTTCCAAAGTGAAGGCCTGCCTGCCTGTTACCAAGGAATCATTCTATAAGAAGCAGGCTTGGTTTTGTTTAAACCTGAAACAACAGATCTAGTACATAACCTGCCACATATCAGACAGATCCAGAGTAACCAAAAAGATAAGTACCTATATTGAGAGCTGTTTCCTGTTTGTCCCCTGTCAGAATCCAGATCTTGATTTCTGCCTTGATTAGTGTGGCTATTGTCTCTGGAACACCTGCTTGCAAGCGGTCTTCAATGGCTGTAGCTCCAAGAAGCAGTAAATCCTGGAAAAGAGAATTTGAGGGATTGTTTTCTTACGATAAATCTCTGCTTGGAACACACTCAAAAAGGAATTAAAGACAGCATGGTGAGCCTCATTGCTAATACAGCATTTTGACAAGCAATAAGCACTACATTAAGTTTCTGGTGTGGCAGTTCTGCTTCCTCTGCATACAATCCATGCTTCAAGAGGTACAGAATCTGATCAGAAACACTCTGTTCCAAAGATGGCAATGTTTCAAGGATAATTAATTGAAATTAGACAATTCCAAAGCTAGCCTATGGATGAACACACATAGTAGAGCATTCACTAATCACCATAGCAACATGAGTGATCACGGTTTATATATTTCTTAAGATCACAAAACTAAAGTCACCTGGCATCACATCATTTAAACTAATATCCCTCCCATAAAAATGTACATACAGACTGGATACAATCACTCAAAGCAAAAATTATTGCAAGTATTTATGGATATAATCACTACATTTATGTAATGCAACTGGTATGAACATTAATCAATCCAAGTATCTCCAGTCTGCATACAGATGTCTGCCAGAAAAACGTCTTGTACAACAAATTTAATACTACACAGTTAGCCATATTCTTAAGCAATTCTAAAGCAATTGCTTGAAGAGATTTGGCCACGTTACAGAAGAAAAAAGTCAGGCAGACAAAAATACCTAAGAAATAAACCTTGGCACAGTCTACTCTGCATATTTTAAACTTTAAAAGCATTTTAATGATTCCTTATACATGTAAAGATGTTCAATTTAAAAGAAATTGATACAAATTGAGTTTAGTTATCATTACTGTATCATTTCAGGAATTACACCAAAAAAGTAACAACTTCTATTCTTTGTAGGGACTACAATAATTCAAAACAAGAGAAAACAGATGAAGTGAACAGAAGCAGTTAGAGTTGCTGGTGTTCAGCCTGGAGAAAACAAGGCTCTGCAGGGACTTTATTGTAGTCTCCCTGTATATAAAGCAGGCTTATGAGAAAGATGGAAAAAGACTGTTTACCAAGGCCTGTGGTGGCAGGACAAATGCCAATGGTTTTAAACTGGAAGAGGGTGGATTTAGATGAGACGAAGAAGGATTTTTATTTTATTTTATAGCAATGAGGGTGGTGAGACACCGGAGCAGGTTGCCCAGAGAAGTTGTGGATGCCCCACCACATCAGTGTTCAAGGCCAGGCTGGATGGAGCTTTGAGTAATCTCATGTCCCAGCCCATGGCAAGTTGGCAGATGATCTTCAAAGATCTCTTCCAACACAAACTATTCTGTGAGTCTATGAAGAGGGCATTAAAGCAGCTCCTACTTGTATGTACCTACACATACATAAAGAACAGAAGGTGAAGTTGTTATTCATACAGATCCGTAGGCTTTTTTCCTGTACACCTGTACATTCAGTGACCTGAACACTCAGACTAACACAAAGAAGCTTGAGCCCTTAGACTGAAGAAAAAAAAATTGGCCTGCTAAAATACATTATATTTTATGTTACAACCATAAGCCAGTATTACCTAGAAAGAAGTGCCTATAGACCAAAGAATTTAACCTGGGAAATACCAGATCTAAGAAAAAAAAGTTAAGTGCAATTCGCTGTTCCTTGGTATGACCAGCAAGCAAACATTAACAGAAAGGAATACAGTGGATATTCCTACCAATATGACACTAAGTCCAAAACTCCAATTCTGCAACTCACTCAAGGGTGTCCTTTTTTCAGGATATTAAAAAGAAGCAGAAGGTAGATGGCCACAAATGATCCAAGGTTTGAGAACACATTTTAAAGTGAGTGAATCAACCCACACTAGTGGATTGATCATGATCATTTTTCATCTCAGTGAAAACACAAGTGCATAAGAACACAGCACAGGTAGCAGAAAACTGAAGGGAGCTATGAAACCTACAGAAATCAAGGATTAGACAACCACATGGCTGCTGACTGACCAGCACAAGAAGAGATTTATTCAATGGTTTGAAAAAGAAGGACACAATCTCCAGCTATCACTTAAAGTCCTTGGAATTTTCCTGTTACCCTGTGAAAGTCAGCTCCCATCCTGGTCTCAGCTTCCTCCTCTCTTCTGCTCCAACTAACTTAAATAACCAGCCAACAGCGCTCCAGAACTAAAGTTGCATTGTTCACACTAATTAACAAAAGCAACTCAAGTTCAGAGTGCTCAAAATAAACCACTGAACAAAATGAGAGCTAAATAACTGGAGCAAGGGAGCGTGAACAGGTAGATGAGAAGCACGACCAGCATTTTAGAAAGCAGCAAGACCAAGTATCAAAGACACACCAGCCCCTAACGTTGATGTTTTAACATTTTGTTCAGTGTGGGAGTAGTTTCAAACTGGCTCTCCTACCTACTTTCCCCTTCCAGGACTATGAGTTCTCCAATGAGTATGATGAGAGCAGTTTTTCACCTTTTTTCCAGTCTATACAATTACAGGCCTTGGTGAACACTTTGTGTCTACCATGTCTACAACAGCCTTCAGAAAACCTGAACTGTGGCTGCTATGTGAAAAGCAACCAATTTCTCCTTGCATACTAGTACATGGGAACATGGCACAACGCAACAATTTTATACATTATCTACTTAGATCAACCCTACACAAGACAGCAAGATTAAAGGAGCGTGAGAAGAGTCTGTAAGTAGTAATGACCTTTCACACATCAGTTTGTCTCATATTGACGAACTAAAACTTGAGAGGTCTATGGACTGAACAAGTTGCCAACAAAAAGTACCTTTTCAGTTTGTCATGAATGAAATGAATGGTTTGTTTACTGTATAAAGCCTAAATCCCATGTAAAAATACACAGGTAAGGGAATCTGTATCTGATTCTCAAAAACATACACATTTTACCTTCTCGATGATCTCGTAGCATTCCTCCAGCTTCTGAGTTCTGTCTTTCAGAACTGTACTGCTTTCGTTGTAGACATTCAGCCACTCCCTGTAAGAGTTTTCTGACAGGTCTGCATAAGCAATGCACAAAGTTCTCAGACCTACACAACAGAACACAGGAACACAGCCATTAACACATAGTAAAATTACACTGAGTAGCAGCTAATCATTAATGCCCTAATCAATGCCAAATTCTAACCCTCTCACAGAAGCCAAGAAGAGCTTTTAATGCTCATTGTTAAACTCCAGATTTCAGACAGAATCTCCCTATACATTTTTCAAGTGTTTGGATTTTCACAAATACAAGACATAAGTTTGGCTCATATACATTACTAATGTTGGTACAAAATCAAAAGAGCCTAATAGGCAGGCACCAGCTTCTCCTCAAATTTCAGTATTGCAATTTAGCCATACTGGAGCAGCAAAAGCGTCACCTTTAATCTTTTTAGCTTAAGTATGAATGCAAGCTTGGCTTTCACATATATAAAAAAGGTCAAATTAAACAAAGAACTGGCTATATATTATGACTGGAAATAGGACTTAGCCAAATAGACTGCACAGCCCACATTTCCTTTTAGCACGACTGTTTTCCTCCTTCAGTGTATGCACATGACTCACATTAATAATGAGAGTAATACGTGCACAAAAGAGAGAAAAAGGGCCCATGAAATAGGAAAACCATTTTATTAGACCACAGACAAAAAATTAACATACAGAAGTAATGATTATTTTTTTTTCCTGGCATGTGTCAAGCACAAAGGAGTGTGTGCCATAAAATACAAAGTTTTAATTACTGGGAATGTGGGAGTCTGCAAATTTTTTTTCTTTTTTTTAAACAACAACAAACAACAACAACAACCACCACCCTGAATAATAGTTTCAGATTTAGAAAGAAAACCACTGGTTAATGGTTTTACTATAATGCAAATATTTTATGCTACTGCAGAAAAGGAAACAATGCCAAGTAGATCCCTATGAGGTGTTACATCAGTCAAAGGCCCTAGAGACCACTTCAGATCATCAGACATCTTTGATGTCTTGGTCTTCCAGGCTTCTCAGCGTGTTCAGATTATCACTCTGCCTCAAAGCTTGGGACTTTGTCATCAGACTTTTACCAGTAAAAACACCTCTAACTTCAATGTAACTGAGGTATTCTGGGTAAAAGAACTTGTGCCCTTTCCCTTCACCACAGACTCACAGAACCTCATCTTTTCCTCCCAAATTCCACTTCCATATTGAAATCACACAGAACCAGGAGTAGGACACAAACTGCATTAGGTATAAAGTTATACTAGAGGAGTTAATTTGCTGATTACACACCACTCCTAAATCTATCTTCATAACCATCTTATTTGGCTCCGCAGAGCTAAGACAATGCAGAACATGCTGCAAGTAATTTGATAAATAGAATTCTCATGACATGCTGTTGCGCTTACCTTCTGTGGCGAAGTATTCAAGATGGCACAGTGTTTGCTCCATATACTGGGAATCTTTTGAAAGCCTCTCAAAAATTACATTATCCTATTAAAATCAAATTCATTACAACAGTGTAAGTCCACGTATGAAGTTTCCATTTCTGTATTTACAAGCTCAAGTGAAGAACATCAGAACCCATATTTGAAGTAATGCATTCAGGTTTTAGACACTCCAGTTTGAGTAAATGATCTGGACTCTGCCCAGTGGCAGAGATACTGCAACCTCTTCAAATAATGTGGACAGAGAAACACACTGCCCTCCCCTCATCTTTCCATAAAGGGGGCTCTCATTATTGGGCAGTATAGAACACTGCTTTCTGAATTACTAATTGGAAATACTGATTTTCAGAGAATTTAAGTGTCTGGTCTTATTCAGTACACATTTTACTTCCATACAGAAGAGCTTCTTGCAATCCTTTCTAGATAATGTTCTCACGGATGTTAAACAGCAGGCAGAAACACTGAACAGGTTCTACCACTAAATTATCTCAGAAAAATCCTTCCTCCTGCAGTAACTTTCTTCATTACTAAATTAAAGGGCAATTGAAGAGGCACAGACAATACCTGCAATCAAAATGCAGCACCATCACCGGCATATCTAGAGTGTCTGGATTTTATGCTGCAACTACCAGAACAAGTTGCTACACACATGGAAAATACACAAACTCTACTTTTGCTCAAATATGGACTCTTAAGCTAAGTAAACAGGGCTACATCTACCACTGATAAGAGATAGGCATACAAACCAATTAATTTATGATGAAGTAATAGGATAGGAGATGACTTAGATTATGGAAGAGTTCATGTAGAATAGTTTAGATGAGTGGTGAATGCAGCAGAACACACAAGACAAAACAGATTACACTAATTACTAGAACCCTTTTGCTCTGTCAGGCATCGGAGCCTGCTCATACAGAAGACAGCATGAAAACTTAGACTACAAACTCTCCTGATTTCTATCCCTTCCAGTGCTGCACTTCAAGAAACTGAGTACAGGCACAGTATAAGCAGTGACTGAAGACAAATAGCTGCAGATCTGGGCAGTCCTACCAGGCATACAACTTAAGTAATGCACAATGACAGTGGGCTTAATTCACTCCTGCCACACCAGCATGAAGCCACTACATCTTTACCAAATCAAGGGAGTTAAACTGAAGCAACAGAGCAGTGCACTCAAACCTATATGTCAGGATAGATTCAAGTAAGCCACATGCTTACAGAAGTCAGAAATAGTTGCAAGATGCCACCTCCATAGTTTTCCATTGAAATTAGAACCTCTCTGCGGCTATGGCCAATGCTAGTTTTGCAGCCTTGTACTTTGGTAAGTTATTGCTCTTGTCAGTGAAGACAGAAGCACAACATGGTGCAAGTCATGATGACAAATAGCAGCAGGTACAGAGATTCAACAGGGCCAGATCAAGAGCCAACCACTTGAGAACAAGTTTTGGTGTTACAGATTCAGACAACAGCATTTAGTCTAGCTCCTGAACTGCTGCTGCACAGCTGAGTGAAATCCTGCCTTTGCTCCCATTAGTTTCAGGATTTCAGCTGGGTAGCAGAAAGCCCAGCAATCTTCCTGCTGCTTGCAATAAAAGTCAGAGGAAGAATGAGAGATCTCTTAAATCATTTGGCCCTAAACAGAAAGCCAACATGTATTCTGCATGAGACATGAAATGCCAGCATCAGTCACAGCTGTTGAAACAGTAACCAGTAGTGTCGGTTCTCCATTAGGTAGCACAATTACTTACAGCCCCTTTGCAGTAGAGACGTAGCTTTCCTGCTGGAGTTCGAACTATCACTGACATTCTCTTCCTGTTGCTATTGAAAGAAAAATATTTGCTTTCATTAGTCTTAGTGATGAAGACTAAGTCCTGCTTTAGCCAGTGAACTTTCTCAGATGCCTTTAGTGCATCTGCAATCAGGGGAGATGTAACAGTAATAACTTAAAACCCCACAATCCTGCACAGCAAGGAGAAATACTAAATTGCCCATTTCCAGCTTCAGCCCTGTGGCTCCCATTGGTGAGGACGCAACCACAACAGACTTGCACCCAAATGCAAGCAAGAATTTGCAAAAGAGCAAGATGGCACAGAAATCCCCTTCAAAGAAGGGGAGTCACATTTATTCTCAGTTTTTCTTTATTCTTCAAGCAAAATTTTGGGAACTCAGGCTAAAAATAGAAACATTAAGGCTGAATGCAAATTTATTACAGGCGTAACAGACATGGAAATAACTGCCCTTGTTAGTGGGTGGGTATTTAACTTCTTAACTCAAAAGAACACAGAAATGTCATAGAAAGGAAATCACAGAACAGATGAGCTCTTGACCTCCCTATAGGTTCTTTATATTGGTCTAATTAGAACTGCATAGTTGGGATTATGTAGAACAAAGCCAGACCCTCTGAGCAGGGCAGCTGATCAAGACCGTCAAGTTCAGGATATATTTTTTAAATAAAAAGTAAACAATAGCATACTGGACACAAACATTTAACAAAGGAAGGTTGGCAAGGTTATATATGTATTTTTAAAGATCAATTTTGGCATTTCACTTCTTAATTGCTCCTTTAATAGAGCCACTGGAAAAAAATGCAGCTTCTAAGAGGCAGAGGCAAGCAAATCAACTCTTATCAAGAGAACCCTAAGAACGTGTGGTTTCATATTCAAAAAAGTTATCTGTAACTATAATTCTCTTCCTTAGAAAAAAAAGAACTCAGAAGCATCCTCTTTCCTCATTCCCTTCTTGCCAATATGTACAAACAGATCAGAGTGCAGAGCAATCTTCCTGCTCTGAGGAAGAAGTCTAGGAGATCTAGACCAATCATCTCAAATGATTTAGAGGTCTCAATTCACCACACAAAGCCTCTTGCTACCCAAGCAGTGCCCATCCTAACTAGCTTGTCAAGTTGGGAGTGCCTGCTAGGTTTATATTCTCATAGCTGGAGTGGTTTTTAAAAAGGGGCCCCAAAAAGCTCTCCAGTTGTAGATTCCACCTACTCAAAACGAAGTAATTTACAGAAGCACTATAAATGTGCTGTCTCAATCTAAAAGCATGTTCCTGAAGCAGACCAGTGACACATCAGAAAATCAACAAAGAACAGAATGACACTTTCAGAGCAGCAACTTCTCAATAAGCCAATAGAGCTGGGGTGGCAGAGGAGAGCTTCATGCTTACATGCGAAGAGCCACCAGTTGGTAAGAAGCTCTGTATTAGCCCTATACTGAAAAAAAGGAGATGGAGAAAGGAAGTTCAGCTTTCCTACTGCATCAGTTAAATCTTTTTCTTCTCAATAACATTAACAAAAATGGTTTTCTTGTTACTCTGCATTTAAGTGTATTAGAGGAAAACTTACCTGGAAAACTCCAGCACATTAAGAATTTCAAAGGTTTTTTCTTTTCCCAGCTAAAAATGAAAGCATGTACTATTAGAGTTTGCAGTATATTCTTACATATATAAACATTCAAGTTGGTTAAAGACCTTTGTTCACACACTCCGGTGTAAAGAAAACTGTGGTAATAGCTCCCTCTCCTGGTAAAAGTCATGTAGAGCCCTATTTAATGACGGCATCAAAGATTAACTTGAATATCTAATACTGTGGCATCCTCCATTTATTATTTTTACACCATTTCAAGGAAGTAGTATCTTACTCCAGAAGAATAAGCATGTTTAGAAAGATAAGCTGAATATTTACTTCTTAACAGCTATAAACTAAGAGATATATTACAGACTGTGCATGTTGTCCAAATTAAAATAAACATGCCATCCAGATTCAGTAATACTGTAATCTTTGCCTGAATTGCCTTAATATTTCTTTTACTTGAACTTACAACCATATTAGGTTATAATTTTTGTGGTAAAAAATGGTTAACCAAGGAGTAATTCCTGTTACCATCAACAACTATTTGCTGCGGTTGAACATGAGCAACCTGAGGAAGGGAAAGGATTAAGAAATGTCATAGCTTTGCCATTCCTGCCATGTAAGAGATGAGAGCAGTGGGAGTTACTGCAGTCTCTGAACTCTGGTAGTTTTTTCAGCACATGGTTAAAGACAAGGCTGTAGCAAAATCTAATCTCAGTATAGAGTTATGTCCTATAAGGCACATGTTCAGCAATGTCTTCAATATTCTCCAACCCATATTACATGTATTGTTAGAGATGCAGGCAACGAGGAGAGACAGGAACCTCTGGGAGCAACAGCTTTTACTACTGGCTACAGACCGACAGTGCTCCCAGCTTGGCATGTATGAGCAATATAAAAAAAGGTCAGGTGGGCCTAGGTCTTCCTAGAAGATGGAAGATCTTAGATACCTCTAGATGACACTCCTCATCCTAAGCTCTTCCCCTTAAACTAAGCAGCAGTTTCCCGAGTAGTTGTAAAAAATCCTAGAAATATTTATGTTTTAAGTGCTTAGCTTGGCAGTACACCAAGAAGCTTGAAAGTGAATGCACCTGGGAGAAAGGACAAAAATATATCCATTATTCTTAATAAGCATCCTACTATGTATTTCAGAGACAAAGTTCTCATCTTAGTTGCACCTGTGTAAGTCTGGAGCTACTTCAGCTTAGACTGCAACTTAAATCAGAATATGGCCCCGTGAGCTGGAGATTGCCTGTACCAACTCTAAGCCGTTAGCTACACACCTCTGCATGCAGAGCTTGTCAAGCAGATACATCTTCTGCTGAATACTTTACTCTGAAGAAAAAATCCATTTTAATACAATAACTCAAACATTTAGAAGTACAGTAACTGTTACACATAATTTCCCAGACACATGAATTTTTCTGATTTAAGTGTGCTTGTCTGTGCTTCCCAGACAACGGAAATACTCTTCAGGCACAACTGCTGTCATTTCCTATATAAGCTTGCAACTTCCTATTGCCACACAGAAGGGCAGAGGACTTTGCATTGAAAAATAGAGTAAGACAACTTTCCCCAGTCTGCAAAAGCCTTTGCATGTAACATCCTAAAGGCCCTGTGAAGGGGAACTGAAGAACCACGCAGGAGACATTCACGCTCTGCATGAGCTCAGCAGTCTGTACAACACACATCCATTACTTACCGCATCAATGATCACCGAATGGGGAGTCCGTGCTGTGAAGACATAACCAAGTTTTTTTGCTCCTTTCACTAATGCCCCTTCATCTGTCAATAAAAGAAAAGCTCAAGTTTAGCCTGGTATGTAGAAGAGGTCTGCAAAGCTTATATTTAAACATGCCACACTGCCAAAAAACAGAAGCACCCTTTCCCCATGTACTCCCACATCTGTAAGGCCACCAGAGTAGCTCTGCACACACTTCCACAACAACATTCACATTTTAGTCCTACAAAGGCCATGTAATATCAACTACACAAACTTCATACTCTATCTGTATAAAACATCCTGTAACTATTGAAGCATTGAAGTCTACTGCTCTGGAAGAGTCATGTTTTTCCTACATGAAAAAGGGGAAATACACGCTCTGAAAGATCAAAGTTATGTTACTCCTATAACTACTTACAACATGCATTTAATCCATTCCCTACAGTAAAGGCACTAAGTTCAGGTGCTACAGAAATAAGTACAGCATTCTCTTCTGAGGACTGAGCTCGGCAGTGTTAATAAGATCTCAAATAACTGAGCTGAAACCAGAGCCAACACCTCTACCTCTTGTATGTAGTTATTCAGCCTCATTAACGAGCAAATAGCATTGAGCACAACCACCGTACAAGCTAAATTAGTGCTCAGCTCAAGCAACCTAAGTGTCTCTACAGCTCCCTTGGTCTCCTCACAGTTCATCAACCCTATGACTAGAGCTGCCTTACATGGGCCATTCACCTGACTCTTCAGACACTCTATTAAGACAAATAGACATCTTGTTGCTTTATCACTCAGTATATCACTAACAGGTCTAGAAAGATCCTCAGAAACTGAGATAAGTCTGATGGGGAGCAGGTCCCCACAGTTCTGCGTTTTGGACCTGCCTACCTCTTTCAGTACCACTGTGCTGTCTGAAAGAAGGAAAAAAGGGGCTAAGAGTCAGCAAAAATACAGCCAAGACTCTGCTCTATGTTGCACCATATCATGTATCAGTTTCAAGCAACATGGGAAGCTGCTAGATCAAGGCAACCAGCTTGCACTCATGGCAAACAGAACAAGTAACTGTTCATGCAGAGACATAGGTCAACTCTATGTACAGAAGTCGCTGAAAGTTTTACTTTTGCTTTTTGCCTCAGCAGAGAGAGGCCAGAGTTAAAAGGTCTCATGAGAACAGAAGGGATCAAAAGCCTAGCCCAGCTCTACAAAAACATCACGGACTTGGCAGTTCTGTATGAAGCATTCAAAAGCAGCATGCACTAGTGACAGAAGATGCCAGATCTACTTCTGGCATCATGGAGAACATCTTGCTTTTAACATCACTGACCTTTCCAGAAATGTTTGGACTTTCTTTTCATCCCTTATCCATCCACTTGTACTCTCTAATTCCTTCCCTCCCCAGAAAAACAGCAACAACCAACCTGGAGAAGAGGCCTGGTAGATTATCGTATTTCCTTGTCTCTCAGGAACAACAGTATGGCACACAGCTAGCAGAGTGAGGAACTCCTGTATGTGTACAGCTGTGGGCTAGACAGGACAACAGAAGAGTGAGGTTTAGTAACACACGTGGACTGAGGCAGCTGTTCGCTCACCTTTGAATACCTCTTAGGTACCAGAGACAAAAAAAGAAATTTATTTTTTATAGTAGTTGTCTTGGTCCCAGAACACCAATAAAGCAGCATTTGGGCCAGCATTAATGAACTAGAGTGCTTCTGATAAAAGACATGTTAAGTTGCAGAGAGCTGAGAAGCTTCATACCCCCTAAATATAAAAGCATTAACTTTGTACCACCCCAAGCTTCATACAGTCAAAGATGTCTGTCACAAGCTGCTGATTATAATCAAACAACAGGAAATACTACTTCAGTAGCTCCCACAACAGCTTTCAATAGCTTGTCAGTAACCACACCAGAATTAAACTCACTGCAACTGCACCCTTAGTAACGAACATCTAGATGTGCCAGAAGCTGATTAGCCAGAAGGCAACATCACATCATCTTCCACAGAAATAGATCATTCAACTGAACAGAAATTTCATCAATGGTCCCTATGCATTCAGCATCGTAAGAACACACAATATAAAACATTGTTCACAGACTGCACAGTCACCAGCCATCCCAAAAGGCTTCATGAGACACTGAGTCTACCACCCAGTGAAGATGCTACAGCAATTAAATCATAGGCCTTTGATCAGCAGCTTCTGGCAACTGCAGCTAAGGCATCCCCCACCCCATTCTTGCCTCCTTTCCACCCCTGCCTCTGACACAGCATTTCCAGTCCCATAGCAGTCAGGAACAGTACTCAGCTGCCCAGCTCACAACCTGCCATACTGCTTCATCCACAGCTCACAAAGACCTTTAAGATGCTTGGCTGAAACAGCTGAGGTGAACACATGTTCCCCTTCACCAACTCTGCTGTATCCGTAACATCCACAGTTGGCAGCATCAAAGTCTTGTACCACAGCAGCCGTCTGCTCACTGAGTCAGGCACAGGCTCAGCTGTTCTACCTCTGCAGAAAGCCTTGGTTGACTTTGTGAACACTCACATAATTTTTGCATATGAAAACACCCTCTCATTTCCAAGGTTTTTATTAGCATAGCATATTTTAGATATACTCTGTCTTAACAGCTACTGCAACACCAAGATCACCACAAGAGCTGTTAGCACAAAGTCAGGCCAAAATGCCACTATCGCAATATTAGAACCAAGATCAGATGGAGAATCCTAAGATATTTTAGTAAAACAGAATCCAAGGTTTGTTTTTTTTTTAAAACAGTTAAAAGATGCTTCTACACTAATCATTCTGCTAACATACACCTGCATGTCTCACAGCAGAAAGACAGACTACAAAGTTCAAAGGAAACTTTTTCAAGTGAGAACTACATGCCACCAAAAATCCTCTCATGTGAGAGCCTTGCACCGCGTGTATTTTAAGAATACGCATAGTACTGTTATCTGAAATGCACTGCATTTTTTTCATACAAAACCCATTAATCACATACAACTACTGAGACATTTGACTCCTCCATTTCCCATTTAGAGGGTCACTTAAAACACAACTTCTCACAATCAGGCCAGTAGCTTTCACATCTGGCTTTTAGACATGCTAATGCTTCTCTCCCCAAGCCAAGCTGTGACAAAAACGACCCACACAGTTTTGCTCTATCTCAGGTCCTATTTCACAGACAAGAACAAAAATAGGGAATAGTTGTTGAGATTTTTCTTCAATGTGGCACACATAGCCTATATATGTGTACAACAGAAAGATGCACTGGCAGTAGCAAAGTTTAATTACTAGAAAGTAAATTACTACAAAAACCATGAAAAATAAGGCAGCTGGCAAATATGGTGTTAACATTTGTAAACAAAAAATAAGCATATCAGAAAAGAGTAATAAAAGAGACTGCAGATCCAATACTTCTATTCTTGTTTTACTTCATGTACTTTGTCATCAATATTTTCTAAATAACTGTTTCACACAGGACCTTTATCTTTGCGTAATGAAACTCCTGAATTGTATGGTCACACGCCACTAAAATAACAACAGCTGTACCTTCTGACATGCTGGAGTGCAGAGGCTGTGTTCAAGAAAATGAACAGATGGAATATAATCAGAGAGCAGTGTGCAAAACAGTAAGTCCCCAGCAAATTACTGGTCAGGAGGTTACTGCAGCTCCATTATTTCCAGCAAAAGCAATGAAAGTTTATCTCCATCTCAAAATGCACAGCCTGCCAGATTCTCCTCATTTCAGCATCCACTGCTACAGGTCTTTGATGTCCTCCTTACACATCTATCACCCAGCCCCTTGCATGCTTTCACAGTATGTGCTCTATCAGCTGGAAACAACCTGTCTCGGGTAATATCATTGATTTTAATCCTTCCTATGTACCTGTTTCTGCTTTCAAGCCAGCAATGTAATTTCTTGCTGTCTTGGTATTTTCACAGCTCACAATGTATTACATGGCAATCTTTTAATTCTGTAGCAACAGACCACCAGAGACCCAGCTCATCACATCAGCTCCTCCACACAGCTGGCATTTGTTTCCTTTCTATATTGCTCCAGCCCTGACACAATATTTGCTGCACTAATATGAGTCAGGACAGAGCATTCAAGTTGCTACTTCAGAGCTGTGAGCAGAAAATTCATTAATGGCTTCTGCATTGATATGTTCCTTACATCATGCCAAGCTTAATCCCAGCATAAGATGAGTCCCACAGGTTAACCAGTTCTGCTTTATTACTTCTTTTCCTCTATTAAAGCAAGTCTCTCTCATTTTAGTACTCAGATTCTTACTGATGGTTTCTATGAGAGACCTTGACTGCTTATTTGTCAAGCTCAGCTTTATTTCTTCCTACCCCATTTCTTCCTGCTGTATTTATCTGTAGCAGGAACAGAGTTTGCATATTTTAGTCTCCTGTTCACCCGTCCACAAGTAGCTCTCATTTCAAATGCCATCTCCCCCCATTTTTCTCCCTGCATGCCAACAGTTCTGGGTAAAAGCTATTGCTTCTCTAAGTCTTCTCCAAAGATCCATGAAACACTTCGTGTATCACCTATGCCAGTGATACACTCCACTGGCTCAACATACTTCACATGCTGTCCCTGCAAGCTAAGAAATACAGACACAGTGAGACATATTCACATATTTTGGGAAGCAGTTTCTGAACTGTTATCTACAAAGCACTATCTACACTGAACACAAAGATAACCTACCTAAACCACACAACATTATCCACTACCAAGCAGGGCATAGACCACTGGTCAGGAAGCTGTATCACAAGTTCTCATCCCTTTGTGTGCTCTCTTGTTCAGAGGGAACAAAACATTGAGTCAAAACTCATTTTTTGGGGGAGCAAGCTGCACCCTGCAGAGCCACACATATCTGCACATTTGTCACGCATGTTCTTATCTGGGCCTTCTCACTCTGAGGACAGAGATTGCATTATGCTACTCAACTGCTGACAGCCTGATACAATTAAAAGGAAGTAGCATGTGATGTTAAACAAATTTATTCATCTTCTCTTGCACTTGTAGCAGTATCACATTGGTGCCTCCATTCACAGTATTTCCAGATCAGCAGGACTGATAGGTTTTGAGCAAATGGTCTAAAATTGCCAAACTGATATTAAGGCACAGTCCAACAACTTGACCCTAGTACTTTGCAGAAAATGTGGCACATTCTGCCAAGGACAGCTATTAAAATTCTTATCTACTTCATTACCAGGGAGAATGATGACTCAATCTGAAAAATTATATTAACTTCCTACTGTTTTATTCATTCAAATTATCTACAGAGCAGTGAGGATCCAGCCATGTTGGGTACCTCCAAAACAGTGACGCTTGTAGAGATCGGGATATTCAAGGCACAGACTCAAAGAAAACATTAACCATAATCTATCAGAGTTACACGTAAGTTTATGTTGTCCAAAACCACTGAAATATTACTTAAGGATACTGCCTTGTACTTGAGCAAAAGAAAAGTATCAAAGTCCCATGCACAGTAACGGTAAAAGCAGAAGAGTGAACAATCTCTCTCACCAAGCTGTAACAATTTAATTGTGAGTTGTAAAATTATGTTTGGTCAGTTTTTAGGCAACAGTTACTTTCTGAACTAAAGCCTGCCAAAAGGCTCCCACAACCTGCATGTGTTTTCCCCTTACTGTATTTTAAAGTCCAGTTTTTCATCCCAGTAAGTAGTGACAGGCTTTTCTGGTTCTGCTTTCCTAAGGAATTAAGGATCAGTTGACGATAGCTGCCATTTCAACAAAGCCTGATGGGATAAAAGCCTCAGCTCCTACACATGTCACAAAAACAGGCAGACCTGTTGGAGAGATGCAAATGAACACTTCCACTGAGGTAAAGACTCACCATGAGCACAACCATTCTCTGTTCTGCCTGGCCAGCTGCTAAACCACTCCTCACACATACTCACTGAATCAATTCACGCATCTGCAAGGGCTTCTTGCTTCTTGGCCAAGTGGTAATTCGATGGCCACAGAAGAGAGTTCATATGCAAATTGGGAGTTCAGAGAGAATCCAGGGAGACAGAACAGCCCAGGATGAGATCCAAGTTTTAGTTCTTTCACTTCTTGACCTCCTTACCTGCACTCATATCTCCAGCGTAAAACCAACCCCACACTCAGCCTTGCATCTCCATACAGAGTTAATCCACAGCACATGTGCAACTGTCAAGCACCAAGATAAAGACAATCTAGCATATTCACCAAAAATGCTTTTAAGTCTCTCAAATAACTAATCTTTTCTTATTCTAATAAGAGTTTCTGCCATTTTCCCTATAGAAACAAGCCAGCATTGTACTCTTGGCACAGCTGCACAGTTCATCCAACAGAAGCTGTTACAAAGAAAAAAGCATAGGCAGGCAAAAATAGGTATTTTATTCCACATCAAAATCCCAAAGAAGCCAGAAGAAACCCGCACTTGTTTCCAAGACAAGTTATTTTTCCTTGGAACTTGTCCTGCAGGGGAATAATTCTTTGCCTGTTACTCAAGAGTGGACACAGCCATCAGTCAGTCCTTACACACCAGTAGCCCAGAAGAGCTATGAAATCTAGAGGTGATGCAGGATGCTAAAAACCTTCCTAGCACATGGAAGACAGTCTCATGAGGACAAGTACAAGGTTTTTTATTTTCAACCAGGAAAGAAAGTTACTTGGCACTGAGACAGCTCTAAACTAACACTTGCAACTGGATTAGAAAAGCACTTAATGAGTGTTTGCGAGAGATCACATTGACAGCTTGCAAAAAGGCAAATGTTTAAAGGTAATTCATTGCCCAGCTGAGTACAGCACCATCTGACCCCTTAAGGCAGCCTGTGCTAGAACACTTCAGTCTAGTCACCTCAGTTCACTAAATGAGTGGAGACTGTCAGACAGCTGCAAACGGCATCTGCAGCTATTTACTAGCTATAAAAACTAAGACACTAAGGATTTCTAGGTAGAAGGAAGCCATTTATGCACCTTAACAGTTGATCTAATGCAAAAAGCTAGAAAAATGCAACTCTTTCCTGTCTCACTATCCTGGAACCCAGTCCTCATCTCACTGATGCAATCTGACAAATAGACCTGAACTTCCTAAGCCACTTGTCACATGTAGGCCTTGCACTCTTACAGCTTGTGTTAAATCACCACTTGTCTGTGGGTGGTATCCATCCCTCCGGTGCAGTCAGACTCCAAAAGATTAACTCTGGCCTACAAGGTACACCTTAAGTCTCATCAGCAGGAGATTTCCCCATTGATTGTCTAAGGGCTGAGTTCACACAGTGTGCTTGGCCCAGTCAGCTGTGCAATGACAACAGTATTTATCTGCTCAAGTTGCCAGAAGAACATGCATGCAAAGAAGTAAGACTTCTGAGCTGTCTAGACTAAGTGACACCTAAGGAAGCTACCAAAATCCTGTTTGCCTGCTACAACTGCAAATGTTCCTTCTGTCTCCTAAAGTAGCATCTCTACCCAAAGACCACCAAAGAATCAGAGATAGCCCAAAGTTAAGGGGCCATCTTAAGACTAGATGAAAAATTCCACTTCACAGCCCATTCATCTCTTCTGCGGAGTCTATTAAAATGTACTGAAGTACTTTTCTATATAGGTGTCTAAAGCAACAGCCAGTCAGTGAGAGCTCAAACACACTTTATCTGCAGCCTGCACTCAAACGAGTAGCCTTTCATTCAGAACTGAAGCATATGGAGTTAGCAATTGCCAGAAACCATAACTGCAGCCATACATGAACAAACAGAACACAAAGGAACAGGAGGCAACCCAAATATCTGCTGCAA